CCAAACTCATTTTACAGATGGAAAGACTGAGGCCTATATGGAGGGACTGAGGGTGAAACCTGGAGAGGGTCCCTGTCATCCTCACTCCCTATCCTTCCATTGGGCAATACTCCCCAGGCACCACCCAACCATCGGGACACCTACCTACTGCATCCGGCTCTGGCTGGGTGCCCAGGTACCGACCTTGGGGCCGTGAATCCACCAGCTGAAACCTCTTAGATTTGAGGTTCTCCAGCACCTGCTCATAGGTCTTGAGCAAGGAGTGGTCCAGTGTAGCTTTGAAGATGGCTGGTTCTGGGCGTGAGGGCTCAGATGTCACCGGGTGGCCCTCTTTCAGCCAGTTCCGGAAGCCACCATTGAGCACTGACACCGTGCGGTGGCCAAACACACGGAACATCCACCAGACCCGCGGAGCATAGAAGGTGCCCAGTTTGTCACCATCATACACCACCACATGCGTGTCGTTGCTGATGCCCAGGCGGCCCACATAGTCAGCGAAGCCCGCCTCGCTGGGCAGCATCATCTCGTAAGGCGACGCCCTGTCCCGGCACTGCTCTATGTCAAAGAAGGAGGCGCCGGGCACATGGCTCTCTAAGTACTCTTTGCGGGCATCACGGGTGCCCGGTGAATACCAGGATGCGTCCAGCACACGCAGGCCAGGCCCCAGATTGCCAGCCCGGACCGACTCCGCCAGCCACCTGGTGGAGACCAGCGCCCGGTAGAGCACCTGCTGAACCATGGTTTCAGCTCTGCCTGCCACCTGGCGCGGGTGAGAACCAGGAAAGAGAGACAGCGGTGAGGAGGGCTGTGTGTGCAGCGGGGTGGGGCCCGGGAGGAGGAGCTGTTTCTCCCACTGCGCGCCCCAGACCCGCTGGGTTGCTGTAAACACGACACGTGGGGGCGTGCACTGGGATAGGTGTGCAGACTCCCTAAGGAAAGCCAGCCCGGCTCCTCCCACCGAGCCGGGAGCCCCAGCGCAGAAGGGGGTGGGGTAAGAGTTTCTGAGGGCTCCAGCTGGGGGAGCTGGCTGGGACGGTGTCTGGCCCTAGAAACTACGATACTCGCTCTTGGGATCCTGCCAAAAAAGAGCATGAAAACATGCCCAGGATGGGAGGAGATGGCATCTTAGGCTTAGAGTCGCCTCTCCGGGGAAGGCAGGGCGCACGGGGAGGACGCGTCGCTGGACGCCCCAACACGCCCTGGCCCGCGCCCCGCCGACCTTCCTGCGGCCTCGCTAGCAGCCTGGGCTCGCCCACCTCCAGAATGCCCGAGGCCGGCCCCGGGCTCGGTGCCTTCTGCCCTAGTTGGATCTGGGTTCCCGGAACATCCCGCCCCCTCTCGCCACCGGGCCCCTCTCCTGGGCCACAGGTGGCCCGGCCGGCGGCCCCATCCCGGGCGGCCCGCCGTCCCC